TCTTAACTCAATTCTCTTTGGTTTGTTCCAGAGTCTAGCCCAGCTAGAGAATTTGTGCAAGCAACTCTATGAGACAACGGACACCACTACACGGCTCCAGGCAGAGAAAGCCCTGGTTGAATTTACCAATAGCCCAGATTGCTTGAACAAGTGCCAGCTTCTCCTTGAAAGAGGGAGTGTATGTAGACAAATAATGCACAACACTACTTTTGAAGTGGCTGGATATTTTCTGCAGGTTTAGGGATATATCTTGATGATCTGATATAGGAAGGCATCTGCAACTGACAGATAACAGTCATTCTTTAAAATGTGGCTATGCCAGATATGTTTGTGGAGACCCAATTATTGGGCCATCTAACCTAGAATTTAAAGTATTCAGTGAAAGATACTTTTATTATTTTATTTATTTATTAAATTTATATGCCACCCATCTCATGGTTCAAGGTGATTATTAAATATTGGTACATTGCCATCTTGCCAATATGAGGATCACTAAGAGCCGTCAGCAGAATCACAGAATTTATCCATCTATATGAATGATTTATTTTGTGTTTCTTTTACAGTCATCATATTCCCAATTATTGGCAGCTACATGCCTTACAAAACTGGTGTCACGCACAAACAACCCTTTGCCCTTGGAACAACGCATAGACATACGTGAGTATAACAAAGCTGGATGGCTCAGTCCCAAGGTCTGTCTGACTTGCCTAGGATCAGATTGACTATTTGAAAAGTTTAAGAACATATGCTGGGATAGAAAGTGAACGTTCATAGAATCTTCTCTTTTACGTTACCTATAGTGTGAGGAAAAAGAATGAATTTGCCTTGCTTATTTTCCTTATATGTGCATGCTTCCCTTTTCCTTGACATATGTTAAATAACTTTTGTAATATACTGTACCATAAAGTGCCCTTTAAAAAGTCTCAGAAGTATGAAACAGCTGTTTTGGCTGCTCTTTGAACAGTGTGAGGGAGGAAATGCTTAGGCCAGTTCTCTCAAAACCTCCTTCCTCCTGGGTCTGCCTGGGCTTTCAAGGCAGCTTCACTCTAGGTGGGAAGGAGCAGTCAGCCTTTCAGAGGTCACCCCGAGGGCTTTGGCTGATCAGTAGCAGCAGCAGCAGCAGCTCTGGGGTAGGAAGTACAGCTCTGTGGAACCATAGCTTTAGCTATGCTGTTGTCTGAAGCTCAGGCAATCTGGATAGGGCACAATGAAAGCACTTTGGCCAGATCTTGCCTGATGATGCCGAGCTGAATGGTCTGTGCTCATTGCAAAGCCATTCCTCTGCCTCCTCTCCTTGTTTTCTTTTTCCCCATGCAGGGCATGCGGTGGGTCTTCCATGCAATAAGTAGCAGCCTCGTCCCAGTTGCATGTATTTGCTTCAGTGGTGGTTAACTTTTCCCAGCTAAATGTTTCCTAAACTCTTCTTTATTTGATGCATCTGTTTCAGGGAATTATGTGCTCAATTATCTTGCTACCAGACCTAAGCTGGCCACGTTTGTTACACAAGCATTAATTCAGCTCTATGCCAGGATCACAAAGCTGGGCTGGTTTGACTGCCAGAAGGATGAATATGTTTTCAGAAATGTCATCACTGATGTCACAAGATTTTTGCAGGTCAGTGTTTTATCTCTTCTACTTTTCATTTGCATATAATGGTTTTGGCTGCTGATTTCTATCCTTTTTGCTTAATAGTAAGCTTGTTTCACACAACCAGTGTTCATCAGTACTGTTGTGGGTATCAGGCCAACAAAAAGAAAACTGCAAAGCCAAATGCTAAAATTCTTATCTGCCCCAATCACTAGATCAAAGGCTTCCACTATCTAGCTTCCTGTTTCTCAGAGTGCCCAACCAAAAGCTTCCAGGAAGAGGAACTAGAATGTGCTAAAGTTTAGGTGAGGAACAGTAGCTGTTGATTTACTCCAAAGCCATCTAATTCAATAACAACACACACACACCGTGTTTTCTAAAACAGCCCCCTTCTGTGACTGGAATATTTTTTCTGATGCTTAGCTAAAATTTGTTCACTCGACTTGTCATTCCTTTTGCCTGCCTATTGGAGTGACAGTATTGAAGAGCAGAAATTAAGATGAAAGGGCATGGAAGAATCCTGTTCTGCCTTGAACTATATAACACGCTTTTAGCATATTTCATATATATAAGAATAATAAAAATAAAAAGACAATGCAGCACCTGCTGGGCACATAGCTGGATTTTGTTATAGATCTACTGACTATCAAACAATTACAGGAAAGCCAGTCCTACAAGGGACACATAATTAGCGACAATTGCAAGTAAATCTCAGTTGCTTGCAAAATGTGATTGGAAAATTCTACTGGTATCCTGCTTCGAAGAAGGGACACACTTGTGACTTGTGGGGCGGACTGCCAGACAGCTTTATATAAGTAATAAATTTAAGCCGTAAACTACAACAATAGAGACCTTTTTTCCTTTTTCTTTCTTTAGGACAGTGTTGAGCACTGCATCATAGGAGTGACAATCTTGTCTCAGCTAACAAATGAAATTAATCAAGTAAGTGCTTCAGCCTTCCTCAGTGAAGTAAGTGTCAACTTTATTCATTCATTTTTCCTTGTGCTGCTTTGTGCCTGTGCGCTGATTTGTTTGTAAAGACGTGTGTTGCTTTGGTAAGAAATACTGGCACTCCACTGGGGTTTAAAATTTACCATTTTTGGCACAATTCCTGAGCAATAGAAGCAGGGCTTTGGATGGAACAGTGATCTCGAAAGAGATAACCCTCTGTTCAATAATATTGTGTAGGTTCACAATGAGCGTTCCATTTTTATAGCTCCACCTTTGGAAAAGTCTTTCCTAATATCTACTTACTTCTGTCGTGCATGGTAGCCATCAGAGCTCTGGGAAAACTCAAAAGCTAGCATGTTCCCCATGCCAGGGTGTGGTCTTATCTTCTTCTGAAGTACAGATGGCAACCCCTGTCCTCCAAATTTTGATATGTCTGGAGAAGACCACTCCTTCAGCAGTCCTAGCCTTCCACTGTGCTATCTCTATAGAGAAGCTTGAAGGCTGTATCTTTTTTTTCTAATCCCAAGGCATGCTTGCTGGCTTCTACTAACAAGCATGCAGGTATTTGAAAACTCTGGCCTAAAAACTGTAAAATTTAATGGAGGTTTAGGTGAGATCTTTGATGGTCTCTATTGTTGGTTGAAATCAACAGGAGGCTAATCGCTCAGCAGGTGATAGCAAGCGTTTACAAAGCATCTCTGTTTTCATGTGGCAGCAGACGGTCCAATGTGATAGAATCGGGTCGAGGTCCCTAGTGCTTCCTCTGAGCTAGGGGGGGGTGGGGGGGTTCAGAAGTGAGGAAAAGGGGCGCCTCGCAAAGGGCCGGCCCATCTCTTTCCAGGGAAAGTGCATGTTGCTCCTCCACTGCTGATTCTCAGCAGTCATTGTAGCTTCAGCAGACGTGGACAGCGGCTTCCAGGGCTGGAAAGGGTGATGGACAGGTGCAGTCCAGGAAGATGATGGACCCCCAGCTGGTATAGCGAGGAGATACAGTTCAGGCACCAGCCCTGGTGTAACCTGTTGATTGGATGGGTTGATTTGACAGGTTTTGTGTGCCCCTCAATTCCCAGTTACTACTATGGTTGGCTCATAAGTAAACGCACCGTCAAAAATACAGCAAGAAAAAAGATGGCCAACATGACAAGAATCAGACGGAAATGCAAAGAAAGAAAGAAATCCTCACAATCCAAGAAGGTTTTGCTCACTCTCACCAAGTGCCTGGGAGAAGAGCTAGAACCTGAGTGCCTCTCGGAAGCCCCTGGATCTTGGGAGGAGCCCCATTCCAGTGGGCAGGCCCTGCTGCAGAGAAGGTGCAATTCCCGGATGCTGGCAGATGACATTGTTCAGTTGAAGGAAACTGGAGTGCACCAACCCGGCCAGACTGATTTGGCCCAGCAGACACCATTTGTGCTTAAAAAACAATAGATTTTGTACTTTTATTTAGCATATTTCAATCTTGAATGATCCTTGCTATGTCTTTATAGACTGATATACCATGATTATATACACTACAGTACTGAGCAATTCTTTGGTATTATGGGGGATTTTAGATTCTGCCAGTGTACAGATAAAATCATTCATATCATTTATCCTTTTCTTCAAAAGACAAATGGAAGCAAATGCTGATAGTTAAATGGGAAATGGTTTTTCTTTGCCCATCCCAAAGGCTTCTTTGAGGCTTTAGCATACATCTTTCGTAAAACCTGTAAAAAGCCATTATCCAGATTATAATCTTGGTCTATCATTTGTATCTCCATTTTGATTTTCAAAGCTTTATCCAATACTTTTTGTGTATCCAATTGAATGTCCTTATCTCAGTCATTCATTTTGCTTGTCATTTGTGTTTCCATTTTAACTGTCTTTCCTGTCTTACAATCTACACTTTTTATTATCCAATATTTCTGGTTCTAATATTTCTGCAGTAGGCAAAATTTGTTGCACATCTGTCATTCCTTCATTAACATATTTTGGAAATAGTCTGTCCATAGAAGCAGGCATCACTACTGACATTGACCTTATAGCTACTAATTTCTATCCTCATTTGAAAATCTCTGCAAGTATTTCAAATTTCAAATGTTGTTTTGTAAATCTCCATACTAACAAAAAAAAACAAAGGCAAAGACACTGCCTGGAGTTTTAGTCCCCTCTAGTGTCCAGTTTCAGATATCATAAAGTCTCAAATTTCTATTATGATTAAAGTGAGACAAAACAATTTGGTTCTCTTGAAAAGCCGTTTATTTAAATAATTCTTTCCAAAATTCTTTCCCAAATCTTATAGTAAAAGTCTCAATATTCCAAATTTGTCTGACCCCTTAATTTGTTTATAACTTTCTTAGACCAAACTCTTATTTACCTTTTTGTCATTTGTTTATAATTCTTTACATTCTTACATTTGTTTACAATTCTTTACATTCTTAAACCTAAGTTTATTTTTTTTAGTTCACAAATGAAGGTAAACTCACCGGATGGCTTTTCAGACTTGTTGTTCCAAAAGTCTCTAATAGCTTTAAGATAGTTAAATATGCTATTTCCAAAAGTGAGGTTAGTCAAATGCTCCGCCACAGTTGTGAGCATGAAGGCTGTTGAAGGGTACATCTTCCTAGGAGGAGCAGCCATCTGGGGCACATCTGGAAAGAGTCAGGGCCATCATGACTCCCCCACAAATCCTTGTTCTTATTTTCATCATGAGCATTTAAGATCTAATGATAACTTGCTTTCTTTTTCTCCCTTTCTCAATCTCCAGGCAGACACTACACATCCTTTGACCAAGCACAGGAAAATTGCTTCCTCATTCCGCGACTCATCTTTGTTTGATATTTTCACGCTGTCCTGTAATTTACTGAAACAGGTAAGGAAACTCGAGACCTTAGTGCTTAGTCTTAACAACTGAGTAAAATGATTAAGGTAAAAATGATTAAATCCAATGTTACAATGTTAGATTTAGAGCTCTGAAAACCTCTAACTTCAGCCTGGTATGGCAACTTCTGTATATGATAAAGTAGGATTGTTAGGCTCTGCCTACAAACTGCCCCACCTTCACAAACGAGGCAAACCTCATTGCTTCTGCATGGAAAATGAACCAGAATCTTGCCTTCTTTACTTGCCTATATACAGGTTTCTCACTTGAAGACTTGCTGGAATTTTATGTTGTAGTCTGAATTCTTTTTCCAGTTGAAACTCTGAGAAACCTGATCGCAATTGTTTCTAGTCCAGATTGCTACAAGAGATCTCTGTCAAAAGGTCTGCAGTATCTATAGTGATATGCAGCTCTTTTTGAAGTCTGCATTTATTTTCTGATGGTTTGGCTTAGGGCAGGGGTCCTCAACCAATGGGACTGGTTCACGGCCTGTTAGGGACCATGCCGGACAGCTGGGGGTTAGTGGTAGGCAATTGAGAGAGTGAAGCTTCATGTTGTATTTGCAGCCTATTGTAAACTGCACGTGCGAGGGATCTAGGTTACGTACTCCTCCCTCGGCCCCAGTCCGTGGAAAAATTGTCTTCCATGAAACCAGTCCCTGCTGCTAAAAAGTTTGGGGACCACTGGTGTAGGGTACATGTTCAAGGTGTACAAGGCAACTTTAAAAACAGCTTGTAGTTATTTGGCTTGTTATTTGATATGCCATTTGTGACCAAGTCACAAAACGTAAAATACAGCTCACCGTTAATACACACATACATAACAATACATATGTATATATATATAAAAGAAACCCTTTAACGCTAACAATTCATTAAAGGCACCAAACCACACAAGCCAAGGTTATGAATTAAAATGTTGCTACTGTCTTCCAAATGAGGCATGCTTACTAAACTAAATACCTAGGTGTTTCTGTATTTGGCTTCTAGATTTAAAGGGGAATAATACAAGATAGACAGACTCCTGGTTCCTTAGGAAATCAGGTTCTACCAGAAACCTGAAATAAAATATTTTTTCATACCCAGCTGATGTCTTAAAAATTGCGTCCATTTCGGTTTTCTTTTTTTTAGGCTTCAGGAAAAAACCTGAACTTGAATGACGAAAGTCAGCATGGTCTTCTTATGCAGCTGCTCAAGCTCACATACAATTGTTTGAACTTTGACTTCATTGGTACATCAACAGACGAGTCATCTGACGACCTCTGCACAGTGCAGATCCCTACCAGCTGGAGATCAGGTAGAGGGCTGAGTTGCTCTATTTCTTTAAGCTGCATTAAAGGGTTGTAGTTGCATGCTTCTCTTGATCTTTGTAGACGTAGCTCGAGTCATGTTGTACAGGCCTTGGGAGACCTTTGCCTTTGGGTTGGCACAGTGTGTGGAGGGTGTTCTTAAAAACCTACTCCAATTTGGCCAATTTTGCAAGCTGCCTAAGTGGGTCCACAGAAATAATCATGAGAATACCCAGAAGACGGGGGAAATATGTACCCTCCTTAGAGAATTGCTGTGATCATTACAGAGAGAAAATAACGTCATTCAACTCCTGAGAAGCATTTCCCAGTAACCAGATTAGAATCTTTAGATAACTGCTCATCCCAGTGAGGCAAGAGGCTCTTTCCATACCGGCCAGTGCAGTAGACCTCCCTTGGCCTGGAATAGCCTGGTCTGGTCATCATTTTGGAGAAAAAGAAAATCTGCTCCTGCCTATTACTTCCATTGGGCCATTGGTCACTAAATATTAAAAGTTTTCCATCTTGTTTTTATTATAAAGTTTTGTTTACTGTGCCAATAGACAATTTTTTTAAAAATGGCAGTATTATGCATGGTTAATTTTTGTTCCACTTTCTTATAACCTGGAATATCAGCTAAGTGCATTGTGGCCTCTGGAGAGGTTGGCATACGTGGGGGAGGGAGCAAGAGAGGCAGAAGTCTCTTCTTCTAATGAGCCAGTTATAAAAAGTGTGTTTTGGAGCAAGTAAATGGTGACGATGGGGCTCTCTTTATTCTAACCAAAGAGAGAGCAAGACTAAGCCAAGGGATAATCTTCAACACAGAGCAGAAATGTTTGCCATTGTCAGAAATCCCATTGGACCCAGAACATAATAAATGGCCATGTTCCTGAATAATTGGACTCTCTTTCTATGTGTTTGACTGTCAGTAAGTCTTACATATCTCAGCTTTCTAGTGCATAGGAAAAACAATAAGAGTCCATTTTTGCAGTAGAAGGTGGTATAATTCAGTCAGCAGAGAAAATAATTGGCTGCATATATATTTAGTCATACTTAATGGCTGTGCAGAATTTCCAGATAAAATATACCATTTTTCATTGATTTGTTATGGAATGATCCAGGTGTAATTATGCTCACTTACGGTTCAGACCATAAATGCGTTTAAAAAGGTTTCTGCTGATTGAAAATGCAACAATATTTGCAAGCATACTCCTTAGTATCTGTATGCAGTTAATGGATGTAGGAACCTCTGGGCTTCTTCTGAAATGGCTCATGAAAGTGACTTCTCTCCCGCATCTCATTTCCCCTCCTCTTTTCAGCATAATTGCCTTGTGGTTTAAACCAAGCACTTCAGAAAGCTTTCTTCCCCTGGTTTAGAGCCAAACTCACGGGCATTCAAAAGGTGGCAGTTGGGATTTATAGCATAGAAGCATAGAAGTTCCAAGAAATACATAGAATCCGTGGTTTTAAAAGCAATCTGGGGAGGACTGGGGGCAATGAGGTGGTCCAGAAGAGCACTGAACAGCGCAGGCAGACAGGATAAGGATAAGCACGGAACCCAGGACAGGGAAGAAGGGGATAAATCAGAATCACGCTTCAAGACCGCATAGGCATGATCTTCCAAGGCAGGAGATAGAGGGCTAAGAGCAAAGCCTATTCTAAAAAAAAAATAGCCTGAGATTTCCTGCAAAAGGAGGTGTAATTCCTCTTACTGCAAATCTTTGCAGAATCTTCTCTCTGTAAAATCTCCTTCCTGCAAAAGGTGCAACCCTCCTTTTCAGCATTCCTCCTTGGGGAGAAAGAGGCCCTTCTTTTTGTTAAGCAGCCCTGTCCTTTGCGCCCTGGTGGCGCAGTGCTTAGAATTCAATATTGTAGGCTAATTCTGCCGATTGCCAGCAGTTTGGCAGTTCAAATCTCACCAGTCTCAAGGTTGACTCAGCCTTAGTAAGGCCACACCTGGAATGCTGCAGCCAGGTTTGGTCACCACGTTACCAAAAAAAAAGCTGTTGAGACTTTGGAAAAAGTGCAGAGAAGAGCAACAAAGATGATTAGGGGCCTGGAAGCTAAAACATGATGAATGGTTACAGGACTTGAGTATGGCTAATCTATTGAGAAGAAGGACTAGGGGTGACATGATAGCAGTTTTCCAATATTTGAAGGGCTGCCACGAAGAAGAGGGGTTCAACCTATTTTCCAAAGAATTGAAGTCAAGACAAGAAACAATGGATGGAAACTAATCAAGGAGGGAAGAAACCTGGAATTAAGGAAAAACTTCCTAACAGTGAGAACAATTAACCAGTTGAATGGCTTGCCTTCAGAGGTTGTGGGTGCTCCATCAGTAAAGGCTTTTAAGAAGAGAACGGACAGCCATTTGTCTGAAATGGTGTAGGATCCCCTGCTTGAGCAGGGGGTTGGACTAGAAGATCTCCAGGGTCCCTTCGAACTCTGATATTCTATGAGGAAGAATGGGCCATGCTGTTTAAGTGGAGAGAGCAAAGAGGAGTAGCTGCTTTTACACCTTAATTCTCTTTCTTGGCCAGAGAACCCTCAGTAGGGCAGCTAATTGTTGCCCTAAGTCCTGCTGTGCATTAGTGTTGGCCTGAAGGATGTTTGCAATACACTGTTTCAAGTCTGACCTGAAATTATACTTGTCTCTCTTTCAGCCTTTCTCGATTCCTCAACCCTGCAGTTGTTTTTTGATCTGTACCATTCCATACCTCCCACTTTTTCACCCCTGGTAAGTATCTCTCTGTCTCATAGATTTCCCCTGGAAAATGATCAGAGGGGGGTGGGACCCCAGTAGTACTACACATCTGGGCCCAGCTACATTCAAAGTCAAGAAAAAATACTTTGCTCTTTCTGCCTGCCCCACCTCCCACCAGAAGAGGACCTGCTTGTGTTGTTACAGTCTTCAGGTGCCTTTGCACACTGTTTTTGCTTAGGGGCTCACTCCTTCAAACAGTTCATGTTTTTATTTTGCTCCCCTGGCTTAGGTCTTGTCGTGTCTAGTACAAATTGCCTCAGTCCGGCGGTCCCTATTTAATAATGCAGAAAGAGCCAAGTTCCTGTCACACCTTGTTGATGGTGTCAAGCGCATACTGGAAAATCCCCAAGTAAGTCAGAATGCGAACATGAACAAATGTATATGAACATTGTCACAAATTGTCCTTCGAAGCTTCCAATAGATGTCCGGAAACTCATCCTGGGTGTCTGCTTCCAGCTGAGGCTGGTGCGTGTGCAGTTGCCATTTGCAGTCATGTGCAAAATGGAGACAGTGAAGGTTCCCTTTGAGGAAGGCTCAGAAAAAGAAAAGATTCTTTTTGAAGAACTATAGCAGAATATCCTCCAGCTTGTCCTTCGTTCACTTCATTTATTTATTTTAAATCTTTATAAGATCTACCCAGGAGCGTGGTGGCCTAGTGGTTAAGATGCTGGGCTTGTTGACCGGAGAAT